TACTCATATCTAGCTGTACTATTTTAGAGTGCACCATCTGGGTGTCTCACAAGGAGATCTATTACCACATTTACAATACCCTTCGGAAATGTCAACTAACACAAACAATCCATTTACCATTTTGGGTTACTCTAACCCCAGCCGGATCCTGATATCCCGTCCTTCTCTTAAACTACACTTGTCAGCCCCCAGAGGACATAACTGAAATGGGTGTGATCAATTGTATGTATCTCCGTTACTGTTAAAGGTAACTCAGAATGCTTATATTTCTCTGTTTGAATTGTAAATACTGTTAACTTTCATTAACTGGGTACCTCGTACCCTTTTTCATCTTGCTTCTTTTACTTGCTGAAACTTGTGTGTACCTTCCGATTCTCTTATTCCTTTTTACCGTAAGAGTGGATAGACATTCTAGTCTTAGGGATCCTTATCAAGAAGTTTACACATCTTAGTACACACATGATCTGTTGAATACCTCATATTTATCCATCATAAGCATGATGCAAAAATTGAGTTCCTCTAACTCAACTCTTCCACAGCTACATCTCTTACCAACCGTTTTTCTGGATGGAAGCGTCATCGTACTATCAATAATATAGAGTTTAGGAAATTGAGTTCTAACAACTGAGCTCTACCACATGATCTAGAGTAAGAAGAAAGAGTGACAGTCCTAAATGCCATGTAGCCTCCTACTTACAAGTGTGGTGCACGACACACCTATAAATAAGACTCTACTAGACACGGCTTGTAGACTCCCTAGGAAAGAACTGCTCTGATACCACTTTTGTCACGACCCAAACCGATGGGCCGCGATGGGCACCCGGTACCTTACTCAACCGAGTACCAACGTAACATATCTTTCTTATTACATCATCATATACACGTGACATACAGGCCTAATAGGCCAGCATCATCATTTATAAACTCAAAACATAGGCCAACAAGACCGTACAATCTTTCACGTACACGACATATGTCTACAAGCCTCTAAGAGTACATAACTGTCATAAAGGTCGGGACAGGGCCCCGCCATACTAATCAGTACATGTTCTAACTATACTGACCACATAAGCAACTCTGGAATAAATGGAGTGCACCAACATCTTCCGTTGAGCTGATCACCTACTTGGAGGATTCTCGACCTGTCTATCGATACCTGCGGGCATGAAACGCAGCGTCCCCAGGCAAAAGGGACGTCAGTACAAATAATGTACCGAGTATGTAAGGAATGAAATTCAGTAAATAATAGACATGAGAGAAACATAGAGTAAAAGACTCAACATGTACGTCTGCCTAGCTCTGTGAATCATTTCATTTTTATAATGTCATGCAATGCGTATAAATGTCATACCATGCATTGGTATATGCGTTCATAACATCATCAAGCCTCTGAGGGCATCCCATCATATCATTTCGGCCACTGTGGGCAAATCATCAACGTATACCAGCTGATCAGGTGGTGGTGCGTATATAACGCTGTAACCTTTTTTCATATCCCATATACATATAATATACGCGTATATATCTGGTCATGGGTCAATGTACATGTATAAATGTATGAAATGCATAAGAAATACGTTAATAAGATTTTTTCGGAAAGTCATAGAAATAATATGTCCGTCGAATAAATTTTATCAAATATGTATTTTTCTGAGACCCATGAATAGAAAATATAATAATAATTCACATGGGGAATCAAGAATATAGACACCCCTAATATTTCTATGAATAGAGTCATTTATGAAAATTGTGCATTTGCTCGTTTCGTATAGATCATGCCAAAAGAAAAGAAGGGATAGCCTTAACATACCTGGAGTAGGAAAATATCCGTATGATATTCTTGGAAAAGGTTGCACCGTACTCCTTTAGAACCGCAAAATTTCACGTTGCTAAGTATTAAGTATTCTTGTATGAGATTTGATTGTAGCAAATCGCGTGTATAATTTGTATGAAATTATACACGGTTTTGATAATACACCAGTTTCGGCCATTGCCAAGTTGAGCTTAATTTTGTGCTCAACCGATGCTTATATCTTCTAATATCAAGGGGGTAAGCAAACATTAGTTTTCATGTGTTAAATTGATTATAATCACGTTCTGAGGCTAAAGAGGGGTGAATCTTGTTGTATGCTCTTATAATATGACACATTTATACATGGTATATGAGTCACTTTATGGACCATAGGTGGCAGCCACGTTGATGCACTAAAGCTTATCCAAATTTTTACTCATTTCCCTTAATCAACTTATTAATTCCCCACTAATTCAATAATTAACCAATTACCCACATAATTAAGAATTATCTCAAATTACTTTAAAATACTACTCACTTTTTAACATACTTTATATACCTTACTATCGTAGCCATGTGGTACCTTGTATGATACTAGCACATAAATACCGGGTATTTTAGCTTGGGCCGTATTTTATCCCAACATGTCAAACTTTGACGTAAATTTATTTTTTTTGATTTTTTTACCCTCTCATCTTCACGAATTTACTCATCACTTGTTTGAAATAACGTAATACTTATAATTCCAAAATAATCTCGTTCACGAGCTTACGTAAGAAACTTTTAACGTACGAAAATGCGGGATGTGACATCTCATTTCCGAGCTTTCATCAATTTATTTGTGACGTACTCTCACATGCGAAAATATAGGGTGTAACACCTCGAATCACATCAAACAACATTAAAACACGAATCACACCCCAATTTGAAGCTTAAATGAAACTATCGAATTCCAACTTCTACATTCGATGCTGAAACCGAACAAATCAAGTCCGATTGACTTCAAATTTTGCACACTAGTCATAAATGATATAACAGACCTATTCAAATTTTCAGAATTGTATTCCAACCCCGATATCAAAAAGTCAACTCCCGGTCAAACTTTCTAAAAATCACCCATTTTCCAAATTTTGCCAAAATGCGTCAAATTGTCCTACGGACTTTCAAATTCAAATCCGGATATACACCTAAGTCCGAAATCACCATACGAAACTATTGACATCATCAAAATCCCATTCCAGAGTCATTTGCTCAAAAGTCAAATTCCGGTCAACTCTTTTCATTTAAGTTTCAAAAATAAGGATTGTTCTTCCAATTTAATTCTGAACCTTTCAAAACCAAACTCGACCGCACACGCAAGTCATAATACACATTATGTAGATGTCCGGGACCTTAAGTCACTGAACGAGATGCTAATTCACAAAATAACAAGTCGGGTCGTTATAATTTGGTTTTTATACACTAATAATATAAAATTAGTGCATAGAAAAATCAATTGCAAGTAACTTTCTATAATGAGTACATTTGTACTTTACAAAAGATGATCTCTATAGTATAGTACTATTTTCTTCATCCCAATTTATGTAACAATTTTTTCTTTTTAGTCGGTCTAAAAAAGAATGATATCTTTCTGTATTTAGTAGCAACTCAACTTTCCTTCTTGAGTAGGACAAAATTAGAATACTTAGAGTGTAAGTTTAGTGTTGGGACACATGAAGAAGAAGTGGACGTGAAGTTTGATACACAAGTCATCTCCAAAGAGAGAGTTTCAAATATCTTGGGTCTATAATACAGAGTAACGATGAGATTAACGAGGATGTCGCACATCGTATAGGAGCGGGGTAGTTGAAATGGAGGCTCGCTACTGGTGTTTCGTGTGACAGAAATGTGCCACCTAAACTTAAGGGCAAAATCTACAAAGTGGTAGTTAGACCGACAATGTTGTATGGAGCCGAGAGTTGGCCAGTTAAGAAATCTCATTCCCAGAAGATGAAAGTAGCAGAAATTAGGATGTTGAGATGGATGTGTGGGCATATCAGAAAAGACGAAATTAGAAATGAAGTGAGTGTGGCTTTTGTGGAAGATAAGTTGCGGGAATCGAGGCTGAGATGGTTCGGTCATATGAAGAGGAGAGACTCTGATGCCCCCGGTTATGAGATGCGAGAGGTTTTTCATAGCGAGTTAGAGGAGGGGTAGAGGGAGGCCTAAGAAGAAATGTGGTGAGGTGATTAGGCAGGACATAGCTCTGCTCCAGCTTACCGAGGACATGACCCTTGATAGAAAGGTGTGGAGGTCGAGAATTAGGGTGGTGGGGTGATAGACAGTCTAGAGTTTCGCCTTGTCTTACTAGTAGTAGTAGTACTACTCGGGGTATTTTCCTATTCCTAGTCCCTTGTTTTTATATGGTGTGACATTATTATCACTAGGATTGGCACTATTCTTGTAATTTTATATCCCTAGACTCTTTTATTACTCGTTGTATTATTTGCTTCCATTGTGTTATTACCTTGTTGTTGCTATTATTTCTCAATTGCTTCATTTTTACTGTTCTTGAGCCGAGGTTCTTTCGAAAACAACCTCTCTACCTTCATAAGGTAGGGGTAAGGTCTGCGTACACATTACCCTCCACAGACTCCACTTGTGGGATTTCACTGGGTTTGTTATTGTTATTGTTGTCAACTTTCCTTCTTGACCTTAATGAAATGATTAAAATTTCATGGTTTCTTTTAAATCATAATTTTTTAAAATCTTCCTACATTTCTTAAACTCCATGTCTAGTTAAATACTTTCATATAAATTGTGATGAAGTGAGTATTAAAGAAAAAATATTTAAATTTGTTCTTGTATTATCCACAAAAATTTTAATTTGACGTTCGTACACTTTTAGATTATTTAATTCTTATTATTAGTTAATCGTCAAGTATTTGTATTAGCTATTAACAAAGTAGCAAGTGGATCACACGTGCCCAAGTTCTTTAACAAGAAAAAGTCAAAAGTTATCCCTCTACTTTGATTATCATTTAAAAGAAAAAAAAACGAGACTATTTATAACGACGAGAGTAATGTTAGACCAAATGATCAATCTCGAGTAGTAGAAAAATAAATTTGACCATTTTTCCTTAATTAAATCATTCTCAATTTTATTTAGATATTTTTCATTGGTTGTTTGTGTCGCACGTATACATAAAATCAACTTTCCATGGGAGTTGGGACAATCCCAAGCAAAAATCGGATAACACGAAAAACACACACAGCACGAAACAAGACACCAATTTAACGGACAAAATCAACCGACTTCCTAAATCCAACGGCCATCATTTCTTCTACAAGCTATCGCCGGGAAAATATAAGCTCTCACAATCTGCAAATTTTCAATTCAATTTTTTTCCCTTCAAAATTCCTCTCAAATGGCACAAATTTCCTTAAATTTTCAGTTTAATACCAAGTATTTGTACAGACACACTTTCTTCTGCAATCGTTATGGTTTTTTACACGAAAATAAAAACATTTCTTTGATCAATAAAAATTCCCCTTTTCGTCCACACGCTGTTGTATTTTCCAAATCCCTAAATGGGTTTCAATTTTTAGCGAAGAAACGTGAAATCTTAGCCCGAGCTAACGGGTCGTGCGAGCAAGATTCGGATTCGACGGAAAAAACCGAATCCTCAGCTGAAAACAGCAAGAAAAACCCGGGTTCGGATTCGGGTCCGGGTCGAGTTCCTGGGTCCGGTCCAGGCCGGAAAGACAGTTGGTGGTCGAAGGGAAAGAAGTTGAGGTGGGAGCCGATAGTACAGGCTCAAGAAATTGGAGTTTTGTTGTTGCAATTGGGGATTGTGATGTTTGTTATGAGGTTGCTCCGACCTGGTTTACCGTTACCCGGGTCGGATCCTAGAGCCCCGACAAGTTTTATAAGTGTACCTTACAGTGAGTTTTTGAGTAAGGTGAATAGTAATCAGGTGCAGAAAGTTGAGGTTGATGGTGTACATATTATGTTTAAGTTGAAAAGTGAAGTGAGTAGTAGTAGTGTTGTTATAGAGAATAATGAGGATAGTAAGTTGCAAGAATCTGAGGCATTGTTAAGGAGTGTGAGTCCTACAAAGAAAATTGTGTATACGACGACGAGACCGATTGATATAAAAACCCCTTATGAGAAAATGCTTGAAAATGATGTTGAGTTTGGTTCTCCAGATAAAAGGTCTGGTGGTTTCTTGAATTCTGCATTGGTAAGGTTTAGATGAACAACTTTTCTAGTTCATAATGTTGTTATGCAATGTTAAGTGGTATACTTACACCTTGCATGTTCACTTGCTATATCTGTAAACAGTGGCGGACGCACGTGGTGGCAAGCGGGTTCAACTGAACTCGCTTCATCAAAAAATAATACTGTGTATATGTATAAATTAGGATTAAAGCTGCATAAATTTTGTATAAATATTTTATTTGAACCCACTTGACAACTACTATTTTACGACTAAAGTTATGTACTTCTAAGATTGAACCCGCTTGCACAAAATACTGGGTCTGCCATTGTCTGTATAGGATTTAAGTTATGTCCATTATCAGTGTAAATTATTTTTGGATTGTTCAATTTTACCGGTTATAACAAGTTCCAATCTAGTTTTCAAGTTACCATGTTGTAGGTCAATTTTAACCGATGGTGTAAAATAATTTATACACTGTCAATGCACAGAACTTAAACTCATCTTAGCAAAAGGAGCAGTAACACCAGATAGTAGAATAGAAAAACCCGTAGAGCTAGCTTGAAAATGGACTGGTATTTAGAAATTTGATGCTTCCGCAACAGCTATCTTTAGAATGTCTTAGTTCTTTCTTCAATCTTTCTAAATGCTACTATTGTGACTTCACTGCGTTTGATTTTGTCTTTCTGGAATTGCCACAAATGGAGTAGTTATAACTAGACCAACTGAAAAGTTGTTATTACCTTTGTTGGAAGAAAAATGTTGTCTTGCCTTTATGTCATGTAGTTAATATCTCTTTTCACTGAGCTTTCATGGTACTTAAGGTATTTCTGTCTACTAGCACGTTCTATTTCATTTTATCAGCTGGACTCCATTCCTCACTGGTTAGAGTCGGCTAACCTATCTCAACCTTCCTCTTTTATTGGGATTTAGGACCAGTTATGTGAAGCTCATTTAACAAGTGTTTAAGGTACTCTATTAGAAGACAGACATTCTGTATGTGGATTCTCAATGAGTTGTTACTTGATTGAGATGACTTGACTTGGGGATTTGGAGAAACCACTGGAGTGGAGTTTGATGGTTCACCAAAATGATGTTTTTGAGTCGTCTATATTCTTTTCCTTTTTCCCTTTTTTCTGATGTTATTTCATTATTCACTATAATGATATGAACAAGTTATATTTCCATCTCACATTGAATTTCGAATTCAACACCCCATATTCAAAATGCATTCTTTGGCCGACAAAAAGGATGTGAATGAGGATTTAAGATGTAAACCTCTGATTATAGGGTTGAGTTATTTTTCAATTACATCTTTCTTAATAGTGGAAGGAAGTATCACTAAGTTTGAGTGATTGGAAAACATAGTGAAAAACTAAACCAATTTTACTGCACAAATGTGTGCATGGCCTCTTACCCTGGACTCCAAAAAAAAGAAGAAAGAACTAAAAACATAGCAGTTAGAAGATACATTTTTTCCATAATCGTGGGTTTCAACCAGAGATCTGCTTTGAGCTCTTTATTGTTACACTAGTTACGGATAATCTAACAAGAGGTATACATGATAATGTCTCATGGTGTATACTATTTGTATTTTGAACATGATATTGTATTAACTGACGAAGCTAGCGAGGGTGTTAACCAGAAGCTTGAACATGGAGAAGCACTTTAGGAAGTAAAAATCTAGGATTCTAGAAGTAAGAACAATTCACCGCAAGTTTAGCTGGTATAAGAAGAATGAAGTTAATGTGAGAATAGATGTGATGGTGGTTACCAAATGCAGATAATTCTGATAGTTATGCTCAATTTTGCAGGTCAATGGTATGATAGATGAAGATATAACACATAAAATTAAAATAGGATAGTTGAAATAGAGGAGTGTCACTGTGATGAAAATGTTCTGCCATGGGAGGATGCCTACAAAAGCAAAATGCATGTTCTAAAGCATGGTAGTAAGCCCAGCAACTTATATGAGAGTGGATGTTGGGCCTCTAGGGCCCAACATATGATGAGTGTCATAGAAATGGGGATGATAAGATGGATGTGCAATCTATAAGATTAAACAAGATAAAAAATGACCGTATCCGACGATAAAATGAAAATAAACATCACTCTTGTTCATGTATTATGAAGATCTCCAAGTTCACTGGTCCGATGGTGTGAAACAAATGATTATTCAATCTGTTAAAGAGAAGAGGTAAACCTAAAATCATGTGGAGGAAGTTGCAAAAATCTACAATCTTTGAGAATCCAAGCAGAGTCGGTGCAAAATAAAACACAATAAATGCGAAAGAAACTATATACCAACTATTTGAGATTAAGGTTTAGTTATGCAGTTACATCAGGTCCATGTTTTTGTTAGAATTTTTTTAAAACATGTTTAGACATTGCATGTCAGTAGAAAATGTAGAGTATCTCTAGTTAGAGACTCCGAATTATCAAGTATTGGAAGGAAGCAGGGTCCAAATGGAGTGAAATGTATATTGAGGATTCATATGGCCTACCCCGATTAGCTTGGGATGGAGGCATGGTTGTTGTATTTTGAGGGAACAAATGACTATATCAAATGAAAAATATTTCAGTGTTGAGTTGAATCATATGTTCCTATTGTTGCTTTCCTAATTTGAAATGTCTTGTGATTCTAAATTTTTAAAGCATGAGCAGATTTGCTGTTGATTCTAAGCTAGCCCATTCTCTTAATTTGCTAGGAAAAGTACCACAGTCGTTCCTGTGAAACAAACATCCTGCTCTTAAGTTTGAAAACAACTCCCTGTTTTCACGCTTTCCTGTTAGAACGGCCCTTTGACATGAAACATTCTGGAGTGTAAGATGAATTTTCACTTTTTTTTTTGCTCAAGGGCAATCATGGCATGCTTTCTATATTTTTCCTTCTAGTTTGTTTCATGTGAATTTTTGTCTCATGTTGCTTGACTTTGTCCCCCAGTAGCCGTTCATGTTATCCATCTGTTTTCTGGTGTCCCCTAAGCATTTCATTATTTTGTCTCAATCCTTATTTTTTTGCTCCAAATGTTGGAATTAAAAATTAACTTTACTTTTGATTTTGCAGATAGCTTTATTCTATGTTGCTGTACTAGCAGGGCTTCTTCATCGCTTCCCAGTAAACTTTTCTCAGGTATATTTGTGAATATATTTGTGGCAATTCCAATATCCACCATATTTATGAATACATCACCTACTTTATTGTGGCTGCATAATTACAGAGCACAGCTGGTCAGCTCAGAAATCGCAAGTCAGGGGGTTCAGGTGGCGCCAAAGTATCTGAACTTGGGGAAACTATCACATTTGCTGATGTTGCAGGTGTTGACGAGGCTAAGGAGGAGCTAGAAGAGATTGTGGTATGTTTCATTTTCATTTGGTGGACTCTCTTAGCAATATTTCCTCGCGAGTGCTGCATTGTGATACCTAAAGTATTGAATAGTTTATAATNTAAAATATTGAATAGTTTATAACTCATTATTGTGGTCTTTTATAACTGCTATTTTCTCCAGGAATTTCTTAGGAATCCAGATAAGTACATACGGCTTGGTGCACGTCCTCCTCGTGGTGTTCTACTGGTGAGTTTCAAATTCAACATAGTAATGGGACCGCTAGATCGTTATCAAAGTGAAAAGCTGCAAGAGTACTGATACAGTAATTGGAGGCTTTTAATCATAACTCATTGAAACTTTCTGCTTTCTGGTTTTTATTTATTTAGTTATTTTGTCTTCCTGAAGGGATTCTCTCTCTATCCCTTCATATCACTTTGTGATGCCTCTATAACTAAATTACATCATTATTTCCTGCTAATTTTGTTATGCGACTATTGACTCGTAGACCATTCTACTTGGGGACACCCTTTGATTAGTTATCATCTTTGTGCTTCTTAGTGTACACATTGCTCAAGTAGCTTTAACTTCTTGCAGGTAGGTCTTCCGGGGACAGGAAAAACACTTCTAGCAAAGGCCGTCGCTGGGGAAGCTGAGGTTCCTTTCATCAGTTGTTCTGCAAGTGAGTTTGTAGAATTGTATGTTGGTATGGGAGCATCACGCGTCCGGGACCTGTTTGCACGGGCAAAGAAGGAGGCACCTTCAATAATTTTTATCGATGAGGTAGCCTCTGCTTTCCCTCTTTCCTTCTTCCTCTCAAAACTCAAAATATCCTAATAAAAAGTGTGTCCATTTTCCCCGGATGTGCAGATAGATGCTGTGGCAAAAAGCCGTGATGGTAAATTCCGCATTGTAAGCAATGATGAAAGAGAGCAGACACTGAACCAACTACTCACTGTAAGATGTGCTGATTTT